ATATGGAATAAGCTCGTTTCCAAATATATGTTTTTGTAGCCATTCTGGTTTTCTTTCCATGTTACCAATAATATCTTTTGTGAATGGGAAAGCTTTTACCCAATGTTTCAGTCTTGCGTCATTTATTTCTGTAGTTGGTTTTATTTTGTCAAGGAACATGTTTTTCAATACTAACATTTCATTTGGTACTGTCCATTTGAGTTTTCTTAAATATTCATCCCTTCTCGGTTCATTGTCTGCAAAGTAAGTTTTTATGACATTTTGCAAACTTTCGTTTGCAAGGTCATGTACAATAGGTTCTCTTCCTTCTCTCTCCCTAACTTTCTTTCTAAACTCTTCACCAAATATACCATCTCTATGGTTCTGTGTAGTTCTTTGAGATAAATGTTCTAGAACGTCAGGTGTTATATTTCCATCAGCCATGTTCATTTCATACTGGTCCAAAATATCTGCATCTTTCATATCTTTCAATGGCATTAAAGCCGCGCTGAAAATACCAGCTATATCTGGTTCACCATTCACTTCCATTGCGTCTACAACTTCTTGGAATTGTGGTTGTAAGTTTATGAACCACCTATCCGGATTAGCTTTATGACCCCATCTCATTGTAGTTCCATCGTCTGCAGAAACAAAAGTAGGTTTGTTTCCATATTGGCTAGGTTCTGAATGAACTTTAAACAATGTTTCATTTCTATATGTTTTGTTGAAATTTAACCTTTTTTTTTCACCGAGTTCATCCAAAGATTGAACGTTATATGCTCGTAAGTAAAAAGGATTGTTGTATTTGTGTACATTATCTTTCAGTACTTCCATTCTATGCTGGATATTTTCATCTGATGTTGGAGTCTTTTGTATGTCGGCGAACATTTTTCGATATTCTTCTACTATGTCAGCTGAATTTTTCTTAGACTCTTGGAAAGATTCCATATTCCCGCATACACTTGTTGAGGGTCAAGATTTTTCGGCTGTTCCAAATCTTCATCTAGTTCTGTGAAGTTAGTTTCCAAAGGAGGGACTTGTTCGTTTTTTCAGGCTCTTCTAGCTGTTGTTGCTGAACTATTTCTTCCATGTCTGGTTGTATCTGAACTTCTTCCTGTGGAGTTTCTTGTACCTCATCTGCTGGCATTTCATATATTCCGAGACCGTTTTTAAAAAGTTCCCTATCTAAGTCATCCGGACTCATAAACCTTTCTTCTTTCGTTCCGTCTCTATTTTTTACGCGTTTCATGAAGAGAGTTGAATTATCGTTTAGCTCTGACACCAAATATCTTGGAGTAAATTCAGTCATGTCATTTGGATGATATGCTATTAAATCATATCCCTTAGCGAGCTTGTATTTTCCAGGTTTGAAATTATATCCCATTTGGTGCTGAACCATAAAGCTAAATAGGTTCGGGTCAGTATTTCCTTCCTTGAACTTTCTAATAGCTTCTTTATATCTGTCACTAAAGTCAAGAGTATCTGGGTAACCATAATTTTCCTTAAGCATTTTTAAGAATTCTTGGTTTCCTTGTTCTCTACTTCTTTTATGTCCTTGCTCTGTTTGTGGTTGTTGTGGTGCAGTGTTTTGAACTGTTGGTTGTGGTGTAGTGTTTTGAACTGTTGGTTGTGGTGTAGTGTTTTGAACTGTTGGTTGTGGTGTAGTGTTTTGAACTGTTGGTTGTGGTGCAGTGTTTTGAACTGTTGGTTGTTGTGCTGGATTTTGAACTGTTGGTTGTTGTGTTGGTTTTGGTGCATGCCTGTGTCTGTGTCCATGTGACGATGTAAATGTTTTAGGTAGTCCTGGTGCAGGTGCTTCTCTTGGAGGGTTTGGTGGTATATATAGTTCCACTAGCTAGTATATAAGTTCCACCAGCTGGTATATAAGTTCACCAGCTGGCACATATGTTCCATCTGCAGCATAATGTCCTACCTGACTTTTTCGTTCTTAAGAAAGCATTTACTAGGTCTGTTTTGGTCTGTTGTAACTCTTTTTCTTGACTTTCCACAACAGTTGCTCTAACGGCGTCATAGGCACTTTGAACTGCCTGTCTCGTTGCTGCATCTGTTATTTTCGTCATATTTTGTGCTACTTCTCTAACTCGTTGTCGAAACCTTCAGACTTCAGTTTCTTTCAGATGAGAAGTCGTTCACTAGTTTCACCTTACTATGAAGAGCTTCGAAGGCGTTCTTAAAGTCAGCATTCATTAAAGCTTCATTTGAACTGTCTTCATCCGCTTGTATTTTTGTCCTTATTGACCCTATAAGTTGGGCTGCTTTAGCGTTGGCTTGGGCAACCAGTTATTAGCTTTTAATATTTCTGCACTTTTCATTGCCTTTTGCATGGCTGCGTCGTTAATTTTTACTTTTTGTGCTAAGTTTTCATACTGTACGGTTTGTTTTGCAACTGTAAAAGTTTTTCTGCTTTACATTTGCTTCAACTTCTTTTTTATACTCATCGCTATCCATATATGTCTTCAGGGCTTTTTGTTTTATTTCTTCATCTTTCAGTACTTTATATTGAGTAGTATGGTTTTTCAAATTTATAACATCTTGTTCCATTTTTGCTACTTCTGCTGCTTTTTCTGACACTTTTTTTGCATATTCCTCTGTACTTAGTTCTTTCAGTTGTTCTTCTTTCTTCTTTTTCTCTACGTTTAACTCATTTAGTTTCTTTGTGTGTCTGTCATATTCTAGTTTCTTTTCGTTTCACTTATTTGTTTCTGTATGTCTATGTTTGACTTTTTGACATCTGTTATTTGATTTTTGAGTGAACTCAAATTCATTTGACTTTGAGGGTTATAGGCTGTTCCATCTGCAGCTCCACCATAGCCTGCCATTTTCGCTAAAAGTGCCGCTCTTAAACCTCCACTCTGTGCACCAATAACTCGGTTTAAAAGCATAGGGTTGCTTGACATTTGTTGCAACATAGTGGGGTCATTCATAATTTGTTGTTGCAACTGTTGTTGTGGTGTCAGTTTCTATTGGATGTTTCAATGCTCTCTTCCTTACGTATATTCTTACGTAGCTTACGTGGCATTTTTAAAGTGAAGTTAAAAAGCGGTTTTTGACAGATGTTTATATGACACTTTTTGTTCAGCACAAAAAACTACTCGGTCAAAGTGTTGTCAGTTTTGTAAAATAACCGTCCTATCTCCGTGCCTATGACGAAGAAATCATGAAAATTCAAGAGGTGAGAAAAGAGGTGAGAAAACAGGTGAGATCTCACCTCTTCACCTAAACTTTATTTTTGGGTCCTTTACACTCATTACGATGAAGAAGTCTTGACAAAACATTTACGAAGAAGTCTTGACAAAACATTTACGAAGAAATCTTGACAAATTCAAGAGGGTAGAAAAGAGGTTAGAAAAGAGGTTTAGATCTAACCTTCTACCCTAAACATTATTTTTGGTCATTTACACTCATTACGATGAAGTCTTGACAAAACATTTACGAAGAAGTCTTGACAAAACATTTACGAAGAAGTCTTGACAAAACATTTACGAAGAAGTCTTGACAAAACATTTACGAAGAAGTCTTGACAAAACATTTACGAAGAAGTCTTGACAAAACATTTACGAAGAAGTCTTGACAAAACATGAAAACATATATAATTTGTGAAAAGCGACACATTATATAATGTTTTCGACCCAGAAGACTAACAATTTTTCCGAATAAAAACTTCATTTATTACTAAACATCCTCAGGGCTAGAAGGCACGAAGTGCCTGGAGGCCCCACTACCTTTTTTTTTTTTTTTTTTTTTTGTTAGAAGTAGTATATGATAACAATGTCAATTTTCTATGCAAATCATTAAGTTTTTAATTGAATTTAATTTCAATTATTTTTTATTTTTAAAGGGCGCGTAAAGGGTTGGCGTCCTAAGGCGTCCTGATGTAAACTATTCAATTTTTAAGAAGTTTACACCATAATTGAATAGTTTATGGCGTCCTGAGAGGAGATTTCAATGGGTATGGCGTCCTAAAAAATAGAAGAAAATGATTTTTTCTCATTTTTCTAGAAATTGAATTTTTTAAAAAAAAAAAAAAAATCAAAACGTATACATTAAGAAAGACTATAAATGAAGATTTTCCTATTTTTTTTTTTCATTCTAAAACATCTTTTTTGGATAATTTTTTAAATAAATATGTAAGAAAGATTGAAGAAAAAGTAAATTTACTTTAAGAAAATTCGTTTTACATGATGTAAGACCCGTAACAACTATAAATATTCAATTATTTAAATAAAAAAAGAAAAACAGATTAAATGTATCTCACATCAAAATCCATTGACCTAAGGATGTTAAGTTTCTGTTTTTAAAAGTTGATATTTTTTTTCTAATTTTAAGAAAATTAATAGATGTTATTAGACAATAGGAGTGTAATGATATTGACTAAACAGAAATGAGGAGAATAGAGATATAATTTTGATAAGCAATATTGCGAACAAATTCTGAAGTAAAAATCGCGATCAATAATTGAAAATTACGATCATGTACTGAAAAATGACGATCGAATTGAATGAATAGAATTATATCTAAGAAAAAATAAATTGTATTTAGAAGATGAACAAAGAAAGGTGTATGCTAAAAATCATTTAACAATAAATGGAAATAAAACGAAATTGTTAAAAGAAAAAAATGAAAATTGTTAAATAATATATTATTTTTTAGTCATAAGAATAAAAATATAGTAGTTATAAAAGGAATTAGACTTCATATATCAATTCTTTTTCTCTGTAGATGTGGAACGTTTGCTTTTCGATCTCTTTCGATGAACTTGAAAATATAAGTTATTATCGCTGAGAATCCTTTCCGAAATAGGAGCTTTACGTTTAGGAGGATTGTCGGATGAATTTTGTTTTTTATTGTTTGATTTTGTTGTTATGGAAGATTTTTTCTTATTTTTTTCAGAATTTTGCTTGCTATTAACTGAAACTTGTTTTGACGGCCCAACAATAGCATTTGTAGTAGGAAGAATTCCCAATAACGAGCGCATTTTCGATAATTGTTTTTCAATATGATCAAGAAGGTCCAGCTTATGTTCTAGATTACTAGACATTTGATTTGTAGAAGGATGGTTTTGATTTTCTGGTTCTAAATCTGTAGAGTCTGCAATATTTGAATTTTCGGAGCGAATTGGAGCATCTGAACCTTGATTTGTATCGGCTTGCTCAAAATTAGTTTGAATTGGAGTGGATGAATTAAAATCTGGATGATTTAATGTTTCATTAAATAATGCCATAATTTTTTCTCTTTTTTCATTAATAAACTTAGTGATCATTGTATCTTTATCTGTTAGATCGATCGATTTGAGTATATCTGCATCATGAACTGGAATATTTTCGAACAATGAACTCGATTCTATGGAACCATATGGAGAAATCTCGTTCTGAGCCAAAGAAAGATCACTTACGTTGTATTGTTTGATAGAAAAAATTGTTTTCTCAAGTTCTTTTTGAAAGCAGTCAAGAATATAATTTTTGTAGCTATCAGTGATAACGGTTTTTATATGGCGCTCGATCTTCTGGTTATTTTTGATGGCGTTATATTTATCTAATTGGATTTGAGATATCTTCTTAATAGCTTCATAAATGTTTGGATGTTTTAACGAAGAAAATTCTGAATGCATACTCTCGAGGCAATCATTAGTGAATATTGCAGTTGCATTATTATATTGAGATATTAAATTGTAGTGCGGCAACCAAACTTTGTTGAAATAATCAATATAATCTTTGATCGAATCAACTTTATTTTGATTAATTATATGCATTGTAAGTACAAATTCTTCATGAGACATGAATGGAGTAATAGAATATAGCTTAAATAAAGAATTTTGTAAAGTATTGAAATTTTTTGTATAAAGTGCTACAAGTTTCCTGTGTAAAGCTTGTTTGAAATGAAATAGGCATCCAATTATACGGACTTTAGGGAAAATTTGTTGAAGTGCCTCTATCATTCCCTTTTCAAAATCACAATGAATTTGAATTAGCTTTGAAAATTGAATACCCTTGACAGTAAAAATATATTCAAATGCCTTCTTATAAGATTCAAATGTGCGGTTTTTCATGAATATAAATAAAAGTGGTAGATATTGATTTGTTGAAGGTTCACAAATCATAATTGTTAGCATCTGTCCTTTTTGAAAATGTTTTGGTGTAATTTTAAAAGTTCCATCGCAAAATAAATCTGTGGCTTCTTTTGCAAATTGAATTGCCTTCTCAAAACCAAAAAACATCGTCTCACAATTTGCTTGAAAATCATGGCCAATGAAAAACTGCTCGCCATTTATTAAACAAAAATTAGCAATTTCATCGTCTGTAATTTTTTCTCCAACAGAAATTTTTCTGGACTTATTATAAACTTCCCTGACCAATGAATCTTTAATTAATGGGTTTTCATCAGTACCAACAGCAAGTTCTGTCATAAATTTTTTAATCTGCTGAAAAGTGCCGTTGTCTTCAGAAAATTTTGCCATTGCCTTATTGTATATTTCTGTCAGTGTCATTGATTTATGAAGATCATTTTTTTCATTTTGTAACTTTTTAAATTGTCTGCATTCGGGTATATGTTCCTTTTGTAAATCTTCGGAAACTGAACTGTTCTCAATTTTAACTAAATAACGTGCTTGACAAGAATGATCGATGCAACGGTAGTAACGTTCAATATTATTTGAATTAATAATATTTGTATGATCATGCGAATAAAGCATATCTTTGCGAACAATTGTATCAGGATATTTTCCAGTAACTGCGGGAATATTTTTAACTGCAATATAACTAAAATATCTTCTGACAGCTTTAGATTCATTTTCGGCGTATTTAATATTAAAATATTGAAGAACTTGTTTGATTATATTCGTTTTTTCATCTCTCGATATTGATTTTTGGTATTTATCAGATTGTTCCCTGATAAATATTTTATTTTCGTCTGTAAAGTTTGCTCTTTTTTGATTAAATATAGATGATTTTCCCATTAAAAAATGAAATGATGCAAAATTAGTTAGTATGGCTAAGTCGTGTACTGAGGCACTGCGCGCCTCCGTACACCACTTAACCTTAAATATTTACAAAACCATTAACGTATATTTTACAACACAAACGACAACACTAACTTAACATTAAATATTTACAAAGCCGCCAACCACTTCACTTCACTAACGTTTTCACTAATGACTTCATTAATGTAAAAATAAACGTTCTCACTTACAAAAGTATTGCAACTCCTCCCATTGCTGTGCTTCACATAACAGCTCATAATCTTCTGACTCACTTTCTTCTTCATATAGGTCAAAATCACTGTCAAAATGAATGTTAGTAAGTTTTGACAAAGCTAATGAAACACGTTTACCGTTTGTATCGTATGCTTGTATAAACTTTCCATTCTTCATTCCTTCATAAACGCTCAAACTAACTTTACCCTTTCTCCCTCGTATCTGATAGAATGTATTTTCACGAGGAACGAAGAACAAATTCTTGAACTCATGACCGTTGTAGTTTGTTATCTCAATAGTTTTCGTCATTTATATAAAAATAAACTTAAAAATTAATGATATCACCACCCTCACACGTATGAAAACATAGCACAAAAATATATTTAGGGTAGAAGGGTAGATCTAACCTGATATCTAACCTCTTTTCTACCCTGTTGAATTCATTGCTTTATAACTCTCTTCCTTTCTCCAACTCTTCTAACTTCTTCTTAAGTTCAGCAATGTTGTCCTCATGAAGTTTAATCTTTCTCAAAATTCCTTCTTTATCTAATGGTTGCTTTATCTTTCTAAACTGAACTCTACCATCCTTCATAGTATGAATGTAAAAACCTTCTGGAATAATTCCTGATTTAATGTATTCTACCAAAAACTTTTGTTTCATTGCTTCAGTGACTTTAGTCGTCATTTCAATCAAATAAAAATTTTAATATTAAATAAAAATAACGTTATTTTTCAGTAAGGAAACGCAGGAGTTTTACGATTTATTTGAGGAGTAGGTTCTGGTTTAAATGTTGGAGTCGGTTTTGGAGTTGACTTTTGAACAGGAGTTTGTAATTCCATAGGTTCAGGAGTCATTGAAGGTTTTGCTTGTGAAGGCGTTGGTTTTGGCGAAGGTGTTGGAGTTTGTTTAACTTCAGCTACTTCAGTATTATTTACAACATTTGCTTTATTTCTTTTCAACATCATAACTGCTCCTGCTGTAGCTAGCAAACCTAGTGGGAGACCATATTTTATATAAGGACTTGACCAAATGCTATTTTTGACAGGCTGGTGGAACACCTAACCTTGGTGAGACTGCTCTTTGCCATTGTGCAGCTCGTAAGAAATATTCAATAGGTGCTCCATAATCGTTTGGTAAAGTTTGTTTCATAGATGGTGAAGGTTCACGAGAGCTTGATGAAGAACTCATTTATAAGCTTTAAAAATAAACGTTCATCCTTTATTCCTCACTGTCGTCCGCAGCTAAGTTATAGTCATCTAATCTTATTATTGGGATTCCATTAGCACGCACCTGAATGGCAAAGCAACAATCCCTCATAAATCCAATAAGTGGCTTTGGTACATTTTCAGTTGCTAGTTCAATAGGTCCTTTAACAGACAATTTGTATGTTATTGGAGCAGTAGATGTTTGACCTTGCTGGAAGCAAAAGTCCACTTCTGTTGGAAAACCACATAAGAAATGTGTGTTGTCATAGCTATCCATTTATGTTCCACACTACCATCATCCACCAATGACCTCATAACATCTTCATTAAATCCTATCATATCATTGTTTGTATTGCAAGCGTTCGCAACCATTTCATAAAATACAGGTCCATATGATTTTTCAGGTTCTGCAGGCATATTTCCATAAGCTCCCATGGAAAGCTGAAGATATTTAAACTTAGGGTTCTCAAAATTAACATAATAGTTGTCTTTCTTTCTAAATAGTGCCCAAATACTTTTAACATTAATAGGCGTATAAGCTGCTGTAAATGTTGCACTTGAACTATCTGTATTCTTTGAGAATGAACCGTCCATAGGAATCCAATCCATAACTTTAACAGGAAAACATAAAGCCTCGTTTGTATAATGTTCTACAAGTTCTGTATAAATGTTAGGGTCTAAAGAGAATGACTTTGGATGAATGAAACATTCATTAAAATCCATCTTTGTTCGAAATAGTTGCTGGGTTACAGTTGTAATAGTAACTGTTCCACTAGCTTCTATTGCCTTCGTTATCATAGTGAATGGTTCATTCCATGGAACAAATTTATTTGTCGGTGGATTTGAATCTGAAGCAAATGCAACTTTAAGAGTTGGATTGAAAGCAATGATATCATTTATAGATATAGATGTGCATTGTAAGGCGTCGCTACTGAACTTTACTTTAAGCTGAATGTTTCCTGCAAAAGCTGGAATAAATCGAATAGCTTCTAATGGTAAAAACTTTCTAACAGGAATTCTTAAACGAAGCTTAAAATCAAATGATTTTCCTGCTGTAATTGGACCACTAACAATTTGTCCTGTTCTGCATGTTCCCGAATGACTCCATACATCTTCATGTCGAGTCTTTGAGAAAACATCTACTTTCTTTATTTGTTCGGTAGTTTGTGAGTTTGAAGTTATATATGCTTCTTCTCTTGCGTTGTCTTGAGAATATACGATACGACCATTTGCAAGGATTTGATATCCAGCAACTGCATAGAAAGCGTCATCGAAACCAATCCAAAATCCTGGTGGGTTTGTTTTATTGGAACCTGAACCAATTTCTTTATCTACAATAAATTGACCTTCCATTTTATACGTAATGAATGTATTAAAGGTCCAACATATTTTCACCAGGAGGTGAGAGATTGAATGTTACCCATGTGTTATCTTTAGCAGTTCCAGGTTGTGATGGAATCTTTGCGTCAGAATATTTTCTATTAGTGTCACCAATTTGAACTGCATTGTCTATGATGTCGAAATATGAGCGAATCTGATGAATATGCTCTGCTGGAGTAAATTCGTTTAACTGTTCGTTCTGCATGTATTTACTTCGGATAAAAATATCTATTTACTTCATTATTCTCACTCTTCTTCTTGGCATTCGTGGTGGAAGTTGTTTCTTGACATTTTCAATGAACTGTACATTCTCTTTTGTCTCAACTTCTTTCACTGGTGGGTCAGGGTTCTTTGACTCGGTTTGCTTTTCAATGAAATTCACGAACTTTGCAATAAGCTCTTGGTTCGTTATTGAAAGAACATCTGGCTTCTTTTCTTCTGGTTCTATTGACTTTTCAGTTTGAATAGAAGGTTTTATATGGGCTTCGTGGACTTCACCCTTGCCATACACCTTAATGTTGTCGCTTTCTGCATTTGCTAATGGAACCTTTCTTTTTCTTATGTATATTTTACCATCTTTACTCTGACTTACGTAATAGAAAGGATGTTGTATTCCTCTTGCGTCATTTAATATAATAGACTCTCGTTCTGATTTTGACAAGCTCATTTTACATCGGTTAAAGTTTTAAGTTAGATTTTTATCCGCAGTCAAATGACTCAGACAAACCCTACGGACAAGACCCAAGGGGTCATAGATGTTGAAGCATTGAAGAAAGAAATTCGTGAGCAAATTTTATCCGAACTGAAGGAACAAAAACAAGAACAAAAGCCAGAGAGACCAAAGAGAAAACTTAGTGAAAAACAACTAGCTGCATTAGCTGCTGGAAGACAAAAGAACCCACGTTTGCTGGCGAAAAAAGCTAGAGAAGAAGCTGAAGCAAAAGCTAAAGAAGCTGAAGCAAAGAAAGAGTAAATGGTTTATTTTTATCCGAATTAAATGTATAGACAAATACCTTTATCTGTTGCGTTCAGTAGTGAAAACCCTGACGTCAAAATAAAGGGGAACAGAGTAACGTTTAAGTTTCCAACAGACTGGATTGTGAACATAAATGAAGAGAAGTACATTGGCATAACATCTATGTATATAACACATGCATTTAGGAAAGTTGACTTTATACTTCAAGTCGAGATAGAAAATGACGAACAGTCTTTAAGCGCCCAAAACATTCACATATACAAATACTTTAAAGACGATACAACATTGCAACAATGTATGACTTCATTTAATGAGATGTTCGAGAAAAAGTTTAACATTGAAGTACAAACTTTACAGCCTTTACGTGAGTTTCTTGCACAACTGAAAGAAGAAGGTAGTCAGCCACAACTTATAGACTTTCATTATGAATTTAATGAAAATGAAGATGGAACACATGACTGTCAGTTTGTTATATATTCACCATTCAATGAAGTAGCTAAAGAGAAAGAAAATCCATTACGTATAAGGTTTCAAATCTCTGAACTCAATGAAGACTTCAAGAATGTTTTCAATTATTATGCAATGCTTCCGAGGAAAAATGAATTTTCAAAGATTGTAACACCTGGCATTTGGGATAGAAAGCAAGCTATATTATATTCAAACTTAAGTAAGGGAGTTGAAAATGAGTTCATTGGTCATACAAGAACTTCACCACTGTCAAATCCTAAGTATTACAAGCTTACTGGCTTCAATCGTGAGTTTTGGATAGACATGTTCTCCACTCATGACCATAACTGCCCAGTGTTCTTACCTCCAGACCATAAGGACTGTCTCTACATTGAAGCACAACTCTTAAACTCTACAATAGCTGTATTGTAAAATCTACGCTAGTTTTATTTTTTCTGAAAATTTTGATTTGAGTGAAAGGCATGGAAGGTGAAGGACATTGGCAAACACTCGAACATGACAATGACTATGAAATCTTTTCAGAGTACCCTTATCCAATTAGACGTATAAGCAATAAAAGAGTTGTTAGTGAGTTTGACCAAGGAGATGGTTATATTTGTGTAAATTTAAACAAACACAAGCTGATGAAACATAGAATAGTTGCAGAAACTTTCATTCCGAACCCTGAAGGACTTCGTGAAGTAGACCATATAAACAGAGACAGAGGAGACTTTCATATCTCGAACTTAAGATGGACGACAAGAAGAGAAAACATGAGAAATATTTCTGGTTCAAATGGCTATTGGTTTGACATTGTTGACTCTCTTCCTGAAGACGCTGTTGAAATTATACAATACTCATATCACACGTTAGAGAACTACTACTATGTCCCAAGTGAAGATGCCTTTTACTATTTCATGGGAACTCAATACAGACGAATGAATGTCTTAAGACAGTATAACAAAGATTATATAAACATTACAGATGTAGAAGGAAGAAGAACAAAGCTGTCTATTGCAAAGTTTAAGAGAGACAATGGTTATACATAAATGACAAAAATATATGACCTCAATATTTTTATCACGAATGACCTCATTGCTGACAAAAATAAATGACCTCAGAACTTCAACTTACGAATAAAGCTTGTTTTAGTCGTTATTGAGAAGTTAAACTTTTCAGCAAAGCAAGGTTGACATGACTTACATAAGTCAAATCCAATCTCTTGACCATCATGAAGTGCTTTGTAAAGTTTCATTAAACTGAACTCAGAGTCTTTGTCATATGTTCCAACAGGTATGTGAATGTTCTTATCTTCATTGTAATAGCATTGTATAGCTTCAGGAAACATTTCATTGCTGTTAAAGCAAGGACGTCTTGTTTGACACCTTTGCAACGTGCATGAAATGCAACTTCATTTAAATCATTCGTGAGTAAGTCTATGTAAGTCTTCTTTCCACAAAATATTGACTTGTATGCTAAACTTTGTTTTCCAGGTGTTATTTCTGCGAAGTCAGAATGAAATTGACCAAGGTTCTTTCCTATAAGTTCGCGACCGTATCTCTTCTTAAACTCTGCTGCAAGCTTTGGTATGTCTTCATTGAAAATATGCATGCTATCACAGTCCTGGTAAAATATTTGAAGTCCCATATCTTCAGCAGTACAGAATACTTCACATTATTCTCTTCGACATAGACAGAATGTTAACACCAAGTGGACAGAAGTTAAAGTGTCTGCAAATGCTTTTCGTTAGCTTGAAAATAGTTTTATCTGAACCATCCAAACCTTCGAACTTCACTATATGGTTGTAGTTTCTGATGGCATATCTTATAGCATCTTTGTCATTTACTATGGTTATTTTTGACTCAATAGGAGATAGAATAGTTTTGCCATAAATACTGTTCAGAATGAGCTTTATATTTTCTTGCAAAGGATTTCCTTCTTTCTTATACTTTAACCTTAACTCAAACAACTTCTTTACTTCATCTCTTATTCTAATATCTCTGTTTCCATCGTAATAGTATCCTTGCAACACTTCACATTTGACACCTTGATATTTTATGAGGTCTTGTAATGTTATATGGTCAACATACATTAAACAGCAAGTGTTTGAACTTCTGGGAACGTTAAGTTCTGGATTTAGTTCAGGGTCACAAACTATTAAAGGAAAGTGTCTATGTATTCCAATCTCTGTTATCTTAATGAGAACAAAGAAGCCAGACATAAACTTTTCACCAATGGGTTCCTTTTGGTCGTCATCGAATAAATGTCTCATGAGATACTCTGTGCTTAACATTTCTTCTTCATAACCTTTGGAATACCTTCTAAAGTATAAAGTCTTGCTATAGCTGATGGATATAATGAAACAGCGTCGAATCAGCAATGAGTTTCTTTTCGCTCTTTTGTTTCATGTTATCTGACAACATACATCTTCCACCTTGAATACAGCGTGAAATAAATTCTCTTGGTTTATTTGAGAGGTCATATAAATTTCCATTCGGGAAGTACACTCTGTTCTCAAATAATTTGTTAGCAATTGAACAAATACTAACGTAGTCATAAACGTTTAAATCAAATTCTTTCAATATGTCATTGCGGAACTTAACAAAACCTTCTCTTAAAATTCTTACATCTTGTTTGCAATAAAATGTGCTATACTTTTCTAAGTCGAAGTTTCTCATCTATTCTGCAACCTTTGATGGAATCTATGTTTTCATGAATGTATTCATCCCGGATAAACTTACATGCTTCAGAAATGACACCAGTTCTGTTGTCATTTGCTAACAAAACACTGCTGTAGTAGTTATGGAAATACTTCTTTCGGTCCTGTTTGTAAGTTAAACATAGCAGGAAATAGTTTAAGCTTCTTATTTATAACACTGTAAGAGTCTTTTATAATAATTGCCCTTCCTTTATATAAGCCAGTTATTTGCATTGTTCGTGAACCTTTAATGATGGGAGTTCCTTTCACTTCTGTCATGTGTCTTAAGATGAAGTTTATATCATAACTGAGGTTATGGAAATATATTAAACTCTTGTCAGGAAGTCGTTCCAAAAATTCTGTTGCACAGTTCTGACCCCAAATGCTTTCACTCACTGAACCATCTTCACTGTCATAACAGATGTTAAAAGCTTTATGAAAGCCGTCTGTGCTACACTCAAAGTCAGCAAAGAAAACGTGCTCAGGAATGAACTTACATTTAGCTTTATTTACTTCTTTTGACTCTGCTTTCTTCTTCAGTTGTACACAATACTTTGGAGCATATGTCAAATCTTTAAATGGTGCAAGGTTCTGTTTATATAAGTCAGTCGTATATGTGAAAAGTTCTCCATAAGAAATAGGTTCGAAATATTTGCACTCCCACAATGTTTTCATAACATCCCATAACGGTTGTTCTATCATAACGAACTACATATTTATCTTCTCTCTTTGTATAAATCTTCATTGTTTCTCAATGTTCATTCCACCACACTCCTTCAAGATTTCTATATAGTTGCGAATGAAATATGTTGTCATTGGTAATCTTTCATTTAGCATGTAGTGGTCTTCAACAAGAAGTAAGTCAATAGTTCGAACAGTTTCACATTCTTTTGGTATGTATCTCTTTATTTCATTATGTCTTGAGTCATTGAAATAACCAATGGTAACATTAAATGCTATACCTGTTGCGTCAGAAATTTCTTGTACTTTACTTTGAGGAAAGTCTCTAACACGAATGACTTCTCTCATGTGGTCAATAGTTTCTTCATCTACTCCAGCCTGAATGCAAGCATAAACGAAACAATTGTCTTCTGTCATAAGTGTTGCAGTTCTTTTGTTCAGTTCATTGAAGATTTGGTAGCGTTCAAGATTTATAGGTAATGTGCAAAGATACTTCCAGAACTGACCGCTTCTCTTCTTATAAAACTTCTTTTCACCATTATCTTTCCAAAAGCTTTCTATAAGTGCTGGGTTTCCTGTTTGCTTAAGAGCTTCCAAAATGGCTTTCTGGTCATTTGTCAGTGTGCTTTCATCTCTATATGGTCTCTTTTTTGGTTTGCCTTTCTTTACATCTGACATCGTTAAGCCTTCATATTCTGTTAAATCATACATCTTTATTTCGGTAAGATTCTTTATGTTTGTCAAGAAGAAGTCATAGTGCATTTCAACAATACCTGCAGCATTTGCTTCTATCTCTGATATAAAGTTCTCCTTCAAGAGCTGATGTAGTAATGTTCCAATATTATTGAGGTTTAACGTAGAACATTCATACTTTCCACCAAGTTTATAACATACCATCCATCTCTGTTGTGAGTTTATTTTAATTTTCTCTAAGAGTCTCATGAAAACCTTACCGAAATGTTTGTGTAAGTAGTCTCTGTTTGGTTCATCTAAAGCTTCGATGTTAAAGTCAATGAGTCTATTGCCTGACTTCACATTTCTCTTCCTATTCTCTTCATCTTTCTTTAACCATCTCTCACCTTCTTTTGGTTTGTCGTCAATGGAACGAATGACATCGTTAGCTTTGCGAACTTGTTCTATAGCGCTCTTAAACATCTCTCTTCTCTGTTGTTTCAGTGTGTCGTCTCTTCTTCTTGTTTCACCAACGTTTGCATTTGTTATGTCAAACATTTCTCTTCTTACTTCATGAGGTACTGAACGTCTATGATATAAGTCAATAGCAACGTCATTTAAAGGAAATGCTCTTGCATGGACTTCGTCCTCGCCGCGTTGCGGCTTTATGAACTCATGAATTCTATCATAACTTATTGCACCATTATAGTCATTGAGGATGTCAGCGAGTGCTTTTTTGTTTGTTGCGTAATGCTTTGCAACTTCTATGTTAGCTTCTGTAAGAAGTTGTTTTATTTCCGAGTGTTCTAACTTAGACAACTTCCGATACATCTTTAGTAGGAAATAAAAAAATATTTTTTGAAAAAATTAGATTAGTTTTTTAAGTTATTTTTCAAAATAATTTAATATTTTTATTTTAATGAAACACATGCAAGATTGCAAGTTCTTTTCATACAATGCTCTCGCTACTGCCATCAAGAATGAGTTCAATAATGCTTCAAATATTAATGTTATCTTTAACAAGAAGTTTGTGAAAGAATCTAAGTTTGGTCAGTATGTCAGACCATTAGCTATCGTCATTGACCGCAAACGTTATACTTCACAAGAGTTAGCAGTAGTTTTGAAACAAAAGAGTTTCTTCGTGAATGTCAAAGATACTCATTATACTGTCATAAAGAACTCTAACATTGACTTCTTCAGTATTGCTTTAAATCTTTCCGAACAGAAAGAATATAAGAAGGGTGAAACAAATGTGAAATATTATCCTTCATCTCTGAAGACAATAACGAACAAAGATGTTATACAGAATTCTTACCAAAGGTTGAAGAAGCTTCTATTGACATTGACGAAGGAAGTGAAATGGTTGAAGAAATAGACCCTGAAGCTATTTAAGCAAAAATATATTTTTGAATAACTGAAAGTGTCACCACGTCACCATGTGCTACCAGGTTAATTAACTTCTTTTAAAAATGATGACAACATGACATTTTGACAACAGTCCAGGAAATAAATTTTATCGTTAATGTTATCGTTAATGTTTTTCATTAAATTTTGACAAAGTGCAAATCTTCACTTCGTCAAAAAGTTAATGTTTTTCATTAAATTTTGACAAAGTGCAAATCTTCACTTCGTCAAAAAGTTAATGTTTTTCATTAAATTTTGACAAAGTGCAAATCTTCACTTCGTCAAAAAGTTAATGTTTTCATTGAAATCGGTAAGTTTTCATTAAATTTTGACAAAGTGCAAATCTTCACTCTTCGTCAAAAAGTTAATGTTTTTCATTGAAATCGGTAAGTTTTTATTCTTCCTCTTTGAAGTTATCGAAATATTCTGTTATTTTTTCCTTCAGTAATGTTAAGTCTTCTTTGAATGTAAGTATTGTGCAACCTTTGATGTCATAGTGTGTTTGAGGAAGAGTACTTTTGACAATTTCCTTTATTTGCTCATTCGGTGTCATTGAAATCGGTAAGTTTTCACGATAGAACCAGTTTCTGTCAGATTTGTAAATCTTAGCAAGGTCATAAAAGCTTTTGTTGTTTCTTCTGACTAAATGCAACATAACCATATCTCTGTCTCTTCTTTCTCCATCTCTTCAGTATATATCATATACTTATAACTCTTTTCCTTTCCTTTGGTACTGAACGTGGTATTCTTTTCTGTATGCTTTTGTCTTTGGATTCAATGACTTCATCTTTTGCATGAAGTTTCTTTTCCATCTCTCCACGTTCTGCTTTATATAGTTCATCTAACATCATGAAATATAACAGCATAACGAGGTGAAGCCCACATTGCTACAGCGTTTACTAAAAGTCTATGAACATAATAACCTTTCAAACCAGGAGCCAAATTCTTGCGATTTTCGTACGGAATCTCTTCCCTCGGTTTTCCGAGGGAAGCAATCATATGAGGAAATTCTTCTAAAAGTTCTTTTGCCTGTTGGTTTTCAAACCAATGATATGCTTGCTTTGTAGAAAGAAGAGCATTCAATACTTTGCATTTGGTACATGTCATCTTTGACTGAACGAATGAGACGTAACTGTTTGTTATATTGTATGTACTCGTATTCTTCATTAATGGCTTCATGGACTATAACTGTTGTTGTGTTCTCTAATGTTGTCATTACTGTCTTTACATACAAAATAAAAAATAAATAAAAATAAAATTATTTTTTCTGTGTTAAAGAAATGTTAAAAATTCATGGTTACATATGTGAAAAGAAGTCACGAACAAATGAAGGTCATAAGATTCAGCACATAATTCTGAATTGAATGGTGTGTCATACATGTCAAACCGTCAAGAATTGAAGGAGATACGAGGCTATAAAGATTTTGGATATTTTCTGACACACACCCTGAGGGAAAAGTGACAAAACACGACGATAGAAAAGTGACAAAATTGAGAGAAAGTTGTTTCCCGACCAAAATGCAATCATGTTGAAAAAGTGACATTTGTAAAGTTGGACGATGGGATTTCCTGAAAAAGTGCAAGACTTGTCTTGAATCAGGACAAGATTTGTCTTGAAAAAATACAAGACTTGTTCTGAAAAAATACAAGACTTGTCTTGAATCAGGACAATTGTTCTCAAATTTGAGAACTTTACAAGAAAAACTGACTAAAAAGTGCAAGTCTTGTTCTGAATCAGGACAAGATTTGTCTTGAAAAAATACAAGTCTTGTTCTGAAAAAATACAAGTCTTGTTCTGAATCAGGACAAAACTTTACAAAATGTAAACTTTACATAACCGTTTCTATCGTACATGATATTTAGTTGACATTGTAAACTATCTTCATGTAAAGTATGGCGGTTTGAAACCGTCGGGAACCTTCACTTTTTTGACGAACTTTCCGCAGCAATTTTTAAAATTTGTGAAAACTCAACGGTTTGACACGTGCCATATGTCATTTTACTCAGAATTTTGTGCTGAATTCAGCAAAAATAATTTTTAGGGTAGATGGTTAGATCTAACCTCATTTCTACCCTCATTATTTATAACCGTTTTACATGGTAAACGTTATGAATTCGTGAGATTCTAAACAATTTCGTAGCTTCTATTTCTTCTGTCAGTATGTCAAAAGTTTTAACAATGCCGGAAGTTTCTTTATACTTCTTCTTGACGTCAGATAATAGGAAATCGTCAGCTGTGGGATAGTTTTTATTAAGAAATGTCAACATGTCCATTTTATCTTCTGCTGGCTTTTCTGCTTCTTTCTTTAAGTCTGCGTAATCGTTTCTCATTCTTTCTATCTCTTTTACTGAGTAGTTATATTTCCTCATTGTTGCTTTACATTTTGAACATTGCGGATTCATTTTTGCGTTATACATTGAAATTTGACCTGCTAGAACAACTAAGGCGTCAATGGTTTTCTTTAACTCAAAAGTTGTTGGTTTTATTTGTCCATTCCATACTTTGCCTCTTCTGTCTTTATCTCTTATCTGCCACACACATTCAGCAGCTAATGAAACAAAGTTGTCGTATGTCTTAAACTCCTCAGATTTATATATGTCAGAAATGTTTTTATAAACCATGTCGCAATCTTTGTTCATAACTTTATGGTTGCAATGAAAACCAAGGAATTCATAATTTACTTTACGTATGAACTTCTTTATTTCTACTGAATCAGTAACTTTAACTTCAATTTCATCGAATTCAGGAATAGTTAGTTTTTGTTGCTGAACTTCCGGTAATTTAGGCAAATGGTCTATGATATCTTGCATTTCATATAGCTCCTCTCCATTTGTTTCATCTTTCGCACTACAGTCTAAATTACTTGTTAAAAGTTCTTGCTTTATTCTTTGTATTTCTGTTTCAAAAGTATATGAAGAAGGAATGAAGTTTTTCATCTCTACCAACATTGACGTAGGATTCATGACTAGCGAGTTTGGTGCCGTGCATGCTGTCGAAAGTGCTGATGTTTCGATTGTTGAAATCATATCTTTACATACAAAATAAAAAATAAATAAAAATAAAATAACTTTATTTTTTCTGTCTTAAGGAAATTCATGAAAATTCATGAGGGTAGAAATGAGGGTAGAAATGAGGTTAGATCTAACCATCTACCCTAAACATTATTTTTGCTGAATTCAGCAACAAAATGAACGAGGTCAGGCTGTATGTAAATACCTTTGAATTCATTTATAACGCCCTTAGTAAGCTCATAAAATGCTTGTTTTGAGGTGGAGCCAAAAGTGGCTCGACCGTATTCTTTCAACCAAAACTCAAGAATTTCCTGCATGAATTTTGTATAAAAAGCAACCGTCTGTATTCCGACGGTTGCTATATTCTTCACAAAACGCCTTATAATACTCTTCCCAGGACTTATTTTCCAACAACTTTCATGAGATAAATAAGAAATAACTTTCATTTTTCATTAGATAATGTTATTTTTGACGAAGTGAAGATTTGCACTTCGTCAAAAAATCCCTGAAATCAAGAATTAATCCCGTCAAATACAAAAAATGAGGGTAGAAATGAGGTTAGATAACTGTTATTTTTGACGAAGTGAAGATTTGCACTTCGTCAAAAATCCCTGAAATCAAGAATTAATCCCGTCAAATACAAAAAAATGAGGGTAGAAATGAGGTTAGATAACTGTTATTTTTGACGAAGTGAAGATTTGCACTTCGTCAAAAAATCCCTGAAATCAAGAATTAATCCCGTCAAATACAAAAAATGAGGGTAGAAATGAGGTTAGAAATGAGGGTAGAAATGAGGTTAGATCTAACCATCTACCCTAAACATTATTTTTGGTCATGGACTTCGTCCTCGCCGCTTTGCGTCTTTATGTTAAAAAAATGGTACCATTAATAATACATAACTGTTCTCGTTCATGTCTGATTTACATTAATGAAAAGTTTAGAAGAATTTCTTTTATTCTTTCTGGCATATTTTTGTCTTTCCAGTACTCCCGCTCTAATGGTCCCAGATGTGTTGGCTTTGACTCTCTCAAGTTCTTAGATGGTATAAACATCTTCAACACCTCCTTCATATCTTACTTTATAAGTGTCATCGTTTATGTTGTAGTCAAGTATTTCAATAACCACTCCTCGCTTTGCTTCGTCAATGGTTTCAGCAAGTTTGCCATTACTACTTTCAACTAATTTATGACGAGGATAAAACGCAATAGAGTCGTCGGCAGCTTTTATAAGATATCCATTACCTTGCGTAGAGTCTACGATATAATAATTTCGACTTAACCTTAAACGTTTCTTTGTCAACGGTTTGTCGTCAAGAACTACACGAACTTTTGTACAGGAATGAGGGTAAATTGTGTTGAATTTCTGATATTTTTGTGTTTGGCTTCGTTTCTTTTGTATATACTTTTCTTCTTGTTGTTGTGTCATTGAATTTGGTGTATGTCCTGTTGTAGAATGTGTTGAGGAATTATATACTTCGAGAAAATGTTCATTGTTTCTTCGGTAAAGTCTCGCTCTTGGTTTAAATCTCTGAGCGTTCTTATGAAGCGGTTTATGATGCGAGTATGTTATGGTTATGGTCTTCAGTAGTGTAGTGAGTTATGTTATGCTTAATGAGAAAATCTGTGATTTCATTGCTGAGGTATGCTGAATCCTGGTCTGATGTTAATGAAGTGGGATGATGTTCTGCCACAAACTTTTGTAAAACTCTTAACACTTCATGAGTTCCTTTATTTATTCATTGGATATGCATATGCTTTGCGAGTGTTAACATTAATGAAGATGAGGAATGGTTTATGTCCTCCTTTTCTGCTTTGAATGAGAGTATCAAATTGGTATGCGTCAGGAGCGTTGGAGTAAATTGGTAAAAAGTAGTCGTAAGGGTTTATTTTTGTTTGATGTACAACATTTTAGTCAAAGAACCTTTTCACTTCAGCTCTGTTAGTAAATCCCCAACTCTTTGCAGCTTCATTGAATTTCTTAAATGACCTCCATGGATGTTGTTCGAATACTTCTTTCAAGCTCATTTATGTAAAGTTAAAGATTTTATTCAAGACGGTAAGCCCGCAAAGCAGGCTCAGCGCGTTCATTGAACGCGGTACCATGCAAATACACAGTCACAAATGGTGGCATGTAATCTGCACCCGACGTGTTGGATTTGTTGTGAAAGTGTGTGAATGATTTCCTCCTGGTTCAGTTGGTCGAAAAGTCTTTTTTGATGAATTGTTATAAGATGGAGATAAAACATCATTGCCAGCATAATATTCTGAGTTGTATAATGGATGGTCTCTTAATGAGTGGCTATGGTCGCCAGAAAAGTTTGTAGTTCCTGTATGAGTGTGCGGTGGAAGGTTTGCTTCAGTAATTTTCTTCGAACCTCCTGTTTGCTTTGAAGAGTTAGCACAGTATAAGAATTTGTCTACAATCTGCTGCCATGTACCAAAACCTAAAACTGTTGCTGGATTTGTTGAGTTCATTGACGTATAAATAGAGCCTATAGGATATAATGTTTGAAGTATTTCAGTCTTTAATGTTTGAAGCTCTGTTTTGTCTGCTTTCTTGTCTAACATTGCGGGTAGTTCATATGCTTCAAAGTTTCTGGCATGATCTTCGATATTCCTACAACTCTTATCTAAATTGTTAAGAGTATCTTTTACGCTTGTACTCGGATTCTCTAAAGGTGCACTTGAACCCAAATCATAGTTCAATATTATGTCGTCTGCTCTAACAGTAGTGAAGGATTTATGTGTATGATTTTTGTCGGCTTTACTGTCTAACATTGATGGTAGTTCATATGCTTCAAAGTTTCTGGCATGATCTTCGATATTCCTACAACTCTTATCTAAATTGTTAAGAGTATCTTTTACACTAGTGCTTGGATTCTCTAAAGGTGCACTTGAACCCAAATCATAGTTCAATATTATGTCGTCTGCTCTAACAGTAGTGAAGGATTTATGTGTATGATTTTTGTCGGCTTTACTATTTAATGTAGCTTGAAGTTCATTTATATCGGAGATATTGTGTTTATGAGATTTCAAAACTTTGTTCGTTGCGTCAAGTTCATCTTTGTCGGCTTTACTTTTAATAGCATCTTCAAAAGTTATTTTTGCCTTAACTCTCAAAGTAAATCTTGGTTCAACTAATACACCGTTAACATTGAAAGTAGAGGCATAAATTTCATCGTTATAACTAAATGCTTCTAGCGCTTTACCTGTGTCATAATGTACAGTACAGCTTATGTCATAACCTTTAGCACGAATGTATTTATATCTTCTTTCATTAACATCTTCCGTCTTCACTTTTTCATCCTGTGTTAAATATCCATGGTAGTCCGTTATAATCTGTTCATCTGAAGTTATATAATGAACATGGTTTTTATCTGCTTTACTATTTAATGTAGCTTGAAGTTCATTTATATCGGAGATATTGTGTTTATGTTCTTTATCTGCTTTTTCGGCTAATTTCTCTTCTATCTCATTTATTTCAAGTTCATGCCTACCACCACCTCCCGAAGAAGTATTTTTCTTCAGCTCTTGAAGAACGTCCACTTCGCCATCTTTGGTGTCAATAATGAGACTTTGAGTTAAAACCTTTCCTGTCTTAATGGATGTTTGTAAAACTTCTTCTTCACCGTGTTCGGGGTCATGGTCGTCATCATATCTTGTGAAATCAGAGATGTTGTCATACATTAAGCATATCTGTCTCAAAAGTTCTGCTATTTGAAACTGGAACGAAAGATATACAGAACTTTCATCATCTCCTAAAGTCAAGTCTGCTTTCTTAAGTATTTCTTGAATGTATGCAATGAGAACAGAGTACCTTGGAAAATATTCGAACAATATTTCATTAGCTGTTGGTTTTGGTGGTTCTTCTGGAGTTTCTGCATCTCTTGACTTCAATGCTCTTGCTCTCAAAGACCTAAATGTTAGAGCACCGGGTTTTACAAAGGACTTTATAAATGCTTTAATAGTTCCTGGTAAGTTATTGTTAGCATTAAGTAAGTTCCTTATGCTTCCATCATGTACGTCCATAGCACTATGTAAAAAATCTATACTTTTCTTGTAGTCAGCAATAGACTGACTGTGATTTTTTAAAGATTTGTCAATACCTTTAAGCCAATCTTCATGCATGTCTGATACTGAGCCAAGAATATCATTTGCTTCCTTTAGTGTATTTTGTGCTTCTCGTAAAGTATCCAATCCCGTACGTGCATTGTTTGCTATACGTCTTACAGTATCTATTTGACTCCTTGTTTCTTGCATCCAACCAGATAAAGTTTTAATAGTATCCGAACCATTTGAAATGAAGTTCAAAGCATTTTTAACGTCATCTAAAGCTTCTTCACCAAGTACTGCCCATATCTTTCCGATTTGGTATTGAAGAACTCCATATGAAGCAGCTGTTAAACCAGTATTTATAAGGTCCCATATCCATGATTTAGCAGTTTTTCCATCCTTTCCATCCTTTCCATCCAAACCGTTTTCGCCTTGAGGTCCTTGTATTCCTTGTATTCCTTGTATTCCTTGTGGTCCTTGTGGTCCGGTGTCACCCTTCTCTCCTTTCAGTTCATCTTTATGTTCGTTATAATATTCTAATGTCATAAGGTGTACATCATTACTGCTACCAGCAACGCCGAGAATTTGTTTCTCATTCATGACTAAATTCTTTAGGCATTTAATGTTGTCGTCAAATCGAAAGCTCTTTAACAATTCAATGAGAACATTCAGTACTTTCACTAATGAGGCATCTACTGTAGAATTTATATATTGCACCGTTCCATCATTTATGATGGGAACCTTGCTTGTTGTAATGAATGGGTCATAAGTGTTAAAAGTATCGAAATCAATGACTTTTTTAGTTTTTCCATCGTCAATGACTAAATCATTGCCTTCAATGGTTAAAGTTGAGTTTTCGTTTACTAGTTCATGTGCTCTTCTTGCTTCATTTGTTTCATACGCATATGCAGCAATAGTCATATTTTAATGAGAATAAAATGTTGTTCTATTTGCAAAGTACAGACCCAAACGAATACGGGACAGTAAAGCTACAAACAAACTTAGGTCTTCAGAATGAAGCGCTTGCTTTCAGAGTTGTTGACTTTAATACTATTGCTTCATTCGTTATAACTGACGAAACAGATTTCATGGAGTTTGAAATAGATGACAAAAGAAGTTTTATAACATTTCCTAACAGAGCAGAGTATAGAATAGATAAAAATTGCTGGAGTCATAGAACTCTCATAAATGAAGAAACTATTGACAACATAGATGTCGAACTCTCTTCTGAGGGAACATTGAAGTTCAGTTATGCGAAAGAGTTTAAGATAACACGAATGAGTCATAGAGTTCAATTGCTTCTGGGAGCATACCATATGACATTTCCTTGAAAAGTGTTGACAAAACGATTGAGATGAAATCTGTTCCATATGTATGTTATGGCAACTGTTTGTACATTGAGTCTAAAATAGCTAATATCACAGGTATTTCAGGAGTTAATAGTAAAGGTTCAGTAGAATATAAGTCTTTCTGTTATGCAGTCAATTCAATGTTCATTCCAAACGTTCCTGTCATAGCAACTCATTTAGGTAAATGGGTTCGCATTAGTCCTCATAATTTGAAAGACATGCAATTCAGACTTGTTGACTTTCAAGGAGAGCCTGTAGAACTGAAGGCACCAGTGCGAATGACTGTTGAAGTTGACTTTTTAGAAAATATTAAATGCAACAGCTTACAAGAGAACTCAGAGCTAAAAATATAAAGTATGAATGTTATGTATTAGGTCATGAACTTTGGTTGTTGCTGTTTGATGAAACAAATGAGTTAGTTATGTCAGTCAAGAGAACAGAAAAATATTGTGTTAGTGAAAACTGCACCAAGTCAATAAGATTAGGTTTGCATTATGAAGATGAGTTCGATACTGTTGAAGAAGTTTTGGATAGATATTACAAATTGCTTTAATTTACTAAAACATATTTCAAGCAAAGTTTATATTCTGTTGAAAGTTTTGTATACTCGTTCGAATATTTATACTTAAACTCAACTCCTGTAGTTCCTGGTGTTTCAATGATGCGGATGTTACCTATTTTCATGAATAGTGGAGTTTGACCACAGCATTCGATTTCAGGGTCGAGATAGTCAATGACACATTGTTTCCCTGTTATTCGTGAGATAACATTTTCAAGGTCCTCCTTTGTTAGAATTATTTGGTTCTTGCTTATAAGATTTGTCAAAAGCTTCTTATCGTCTTTGAGTAAAATTGTTTGGTATAACTGAAGAAGGTAATGGTCTACGTTATCTGAAGGATTTGTTTGAACATTTGTGTAAGGGTTGTCGTTGGCTTCTCTTGAAAGAATTTGGTCCAGTGGTGGATACTCTAACTTAACATCTGATGTAGCGTTAGCGTTTGAAGCTGTGTTTAAATTCACGGATTTCAGTTCTGGTCTTTTTCTTTCAAACACTCTGAACTATAGTTCTTTATGACAATATTGTTTGTCGTTCGTGAGTCAACATTTGATGTTGGTTCAATTGGAACATTAACGGCACCAGCTAAGATGGATTTGCTTCTCATTTCATATAGAATAAAAACCTTTTATATGTATGAAATGAACAATATACTCGACAAGGGTTTGAATGTAAAGCTAACGAATGAAAATATTGTTGAATTCACTGAGACAGGTGCTGTGTATAAAGATGTAGAACTACTGAACAAAAGAGCTAAGGGAAGAAGCAGGAACATGAACAAAGGGTGGAAGCCTATAAAAATTTATGTCAATGATGGCTCAGGAGGTTCAAACATAAAGTATGCAGAAAGTTATAGAGTTTATGCTCTCAAAGGTGAAAAGCCTTCATTTAAGAACAGCTATTCTAACGCATATCCTCAAAAGCTAACGGATGGGAAGTGGATGATATGAATGACAGCAAAAATATTAACAGAAATGGCGACAGAGATGCATGGAATTTGTTTACCATCAGTCAATTGAAGGTTAAACTTTAAAACAATGTTGGTCGTTCCCATGGAATATTTTTGACTTTAATGGTATTAGTCATGATATGAATCTCAAGGTATGAACGAGGAGAGATGAGAGACTTATATGCTTCCCAAATTTCTTCAAAAGGTAATGTTATACCTGACTGTTTCCAAATGAGTTCAATATCATAGCGTGAGAAACCTTGAAAGATAACGAAGTCAGTTATGAGACGTTTTATGTTTAAAGCTAAAAACCTCCATGTTTGCATAAGTATTGCTACAGTTAAATGGTAATGTCTGACTTTAGTAATGATGTTAGCTAATGGTGAGTCAGGCTTTGACACTAAACCTTTTCCGGCGAAGTCGTCACAAACGAGCAGAGTATTTGAAGGATACTTTTTGAAGGGGTATTTTGAAAGTTTTGACAGAAGGTAGTTTGTCAGTCGTTTCATATCGTAAACTCCTGAGTACTGACGTAAGTGGTGTTTGTCAATAATTCTTTCCATCTCTTCTGAAGTCTTTTGCATTCCTGACTGTATAAATTCAACGATGGCATAATATTTCCTCTTACGTCGAATGTAACGTTGAAGAAATTCAATGAGTTCGCTATCTGGAACTTTAACGACAGAGGCTTGAACTTTTGACATAAATGTTTTCGCTGTTGAATCCATAGAGTCTGAAGTTGCTGATATAATGATTTGGTCATAGTAAGAGTCGTTTCCTAAACGCTCTGTTATGAGTATATGACGAATGAGGTTAAATGTCTTACCTGAACCCATCTTTCCACAATAGAAATACACACCATTTGAACAGAATTCATAATCTTTGCTGAAAGGAAGAATAAGAGAAGAGTTAAGTTTGTCTGTAGTTTCATTCATGTCTTCATCTACGTCATGTATTAAATGCTTCATTTTATCTCCATTAAAAATGCAAGTCAGAAATATTCAGAACATAGCACCGAGTCTAACTGACAAGAGTATAAAGATATACTATGAACACGTTATGATGAAACCAACCAAAATTCAAGAAAGTCAGTATACTTATGAATATCCAAGACACTGGGTAGAGTATGTAGGAGGTGAGAAAGCTATTGAAATAAGACAAGTTAGAAGTATTCCAGCAGGAAGAACAATATTATTGAAGAACTTTAATGTTTTGAGTATAATGATGAAACAAAGAAGCAAGATAGTTTTCCTGTTGCTGTGTATGTGAACCTAGACACAGGAGATGACATGAAAGTTTTTAACACAAAGCTTCAAACGGTAGTGAGAGAACAACTTACTGCGGAAGGACACCCATTACCTTCAGAAGTTACCATAGCATATAATTTTGAAACAAACTCAATAGATTTTAAAGTCATCTCTGCAAAGAAGTCAGGATTTACATTTAATGAAGCAGATGTATATTCGAATGAAAACTTCAAAGCTATTGCATGGTTAGATAATGACGATTGCTTTAAGAAAATATTTAAATTCAGTGACTCAAAGATGTCAATAGATGACCTTCGTGGAATGTTACCATCGACGTTTACAGTGAAGGTTCAGCAGGATTGCTTACAAGATTGTCAATTGGTGGTATTTGGTCTCGTGAGAACATTGTTATAAAATCCAGTATAAGTGAATTTGCTGAAGAATCTATATTATGTCTTTCAAACTATATGTATTCGCCGCCGAAGCATTATAGTATAACAAACTTTGTCAGTAAGTTTAACATAAGACTTGTCGAACCTTCTTCAATGAAAGATGTTGTGCTACCTAAAGATGGAAAGGATGGACTCATTATTGAGATGATTTTAATTAGCATATTAAATGAGCTTGTTCTTGAAGGTCATTCATGATGAAATAACTGTTGTAGAAGATGTTAGCAATTGTTCAGACATTTTGAAGCGTATAGATGATATAAGAAATAAGTTAGATAGACCGCAAAGCGGTGAGGGCGAAGCCCGTGAGAACGCTTACGTTTCATTGACTTTCTCCAGTAACGAGAACTTTTATGAGATAATATTGAAGAGAGATGATTTTAATATGGTGTAAATGGTGCTTGGCTGGCAGCTTTAGGCGCAATGGAACAAAGCATTAGCATTTGGAGCAAAAGCACTTTGGAGCTTATGACGCAGTAAATAAAATGAGTGGAGGAAGGGTTTCAAAGACATTAGATGCAAATAAAGGGAAGATTGGAGGCTGGGTTGCAAAGAAGTTAAGATTAAATAAAATAGGGCTCATAAATAAAGCATCCAATTTGGTTGCGACTGAGTCAGAAAATGCTTTAGGAAAGGACGACGAGTTTGCAAAACACGAAAAGACTTTAATGACCAGATGAAAGGTGAAACAATGCATTTAAATAGATTCGATGGAACTAAAGAAAATGTTTCTTCTCCACCAGTAGTTCTTCCGTATGGTCCCTATGGAATGTATGGAAACCCTTATGAACGACCATTTGACCCATTGACTGGTGGAAGTAACTGGTATCATTACGGACGAAGAAGAAAGACAGTCAAGTTGGAGACAGACGTGAAGAAAGCAACTAAAAAGAAACCAAGGAAGAGAGTTATAAAGCAATGAATTCAACAAGGTTAGAAATGAGGTTAGATATCAGGTTAGATCTACCCTTCTACCCTAAATATATTTTTGTGCTATGTTTTCATACGTGTGAGGGTGGTGATATCATTAATTTTTAAGTTTATTTTTATATAAATGACGAAAACTATTGAGATAACAAACTACAACGGTCATGAGTTCAAGAATTTGTTCTTCGTTCCTCGTGAAAATACATTCTATCAGATACGAGGGAGAAAGGGTAAAGTTAGTTTGAGCGTTTATGAAGGAATGAAGAATGGAAAGTTTATACAAGCATACGATACAAACGGTAAACGTGTTTCATTAGCTTTGTCAAAACTTACTAACATTCATTTTGACAGTGATTTTGACCTATATGAAGAAGAAAGTGAGTCAGAAGATTATGAGCTGTTATGTGAAGCACAGCAATGGGAGGAGTTGCAATACTTTTGTAA